GCCTTTCTGACCCAAGCAGAACTCCATTTCCTGTTGCAGGCAGAGGGCAAGGTTTAATTCTCGGGTACTACTACCACTACTACTAGAAAGAGGTGAAATCTAGCCATCACCAATGGCAAACAGATGGGATGGGGGGTTCACGAGTTTCAAATAACACGGCACTTATCCTTACTAATGACAAGACATATTTTGACTTAAAATTCTTTAATGTTTTAATAAGACTGGTATTTGTTATTATCGGTACTAAGCATAAACATATGCTGCATGAACTGTAAACATCGGCCTGACATTTCAACACACTGGCTACTTAGTCCACTGCAGTACTATAAAAAGAATTTAACACTAGTATTTGAGTCCAAAACGAGAGGACTAAGACAGAAAAGTGTCCACTACATAACAGACACATAATTTCAAAGAGCAAAAAAAAACAACACGCATCAAACTGACTGAGACCCAGTGACACAATAACTACACTTTATATGTTCAGGAGAAACTTTAGCTTCAATAAGATCTTCTTTCTATATACGAGTTATCTTACACTGTCAATGTAAACAAATAAGTGATATGTGGTAACGTATGGGAGATAGAAATGTGGTAAGAATTCTGCATGAAGGCCTGGTTTACATCTAAATCCCACACATCACAATCTTAATGTTAGAACAGGACATAGGATACCTTTTGAATCGAGGCTTTAACTATAGCACAGAGAAATAGGACCTACGCAAGCTCGAGGGAGACAGAGATATGCATCACTGCCTCTGCAGTGTAGTCAACACGAACGCCCCAACAAGCTAAAACACTCTCACTATCTTGGTGGAAAACACCACCAGCGGCACTGCAGTGTTTTCCTCAGCATTGGTACTGCACCAAAGTGGAGAGCTTCTCCTCCATATTCTGTTCCCTTCACAGCTCATCTCAAAACACCCCCATGTTATTCCCCCCCAACACACGTTATTTAACACAGAAAACACAGGCACACCACTGAACTAACTCAGGCAATTGTGACACTTATCTATCACCACAGCCAGCTGTAAGTCTACTGATTGTACACAGACTCTTCCTGATAAGTCCAGATAGCCAGTGGGCATTTTAAAGCACGGTTCACTTAATAGTCCCATAAAACACACACATCCTCTGCGTGAGTTTTATTTCTGACCATCTCATTTGTTGCTTTCCTTGTAGACAGACGTGCAAGCACATCCTTTTTTGCTTTAATGCTGGAAAAGGCCAACAAATGGACAAGACACAGTGCTTCATGACAGGAATATTACGACGGTGTGCACACTAAACTGGGAATGCAGATACAGTAGTTTTGCTATAAATTAAAAATCATTAAGGCGGTATCATTGCACTCCCTGTTGCAAGTGCCCATCACTGCTAATCCTGAGTATGCAACAAAGTTAAACCCAGCATTACTCTAAAACTTACTGTAGAAGAAGTTCATTCATCTTTGCTTCCAAAACAAGCCTTTTAAACCACATGCCCTACGTCGTGTTAATCTGCATACTCAAAACATTTCAATATAATTTTAAAAATATCAACACACCGTTGTGTGGCAGTCCCATCACACATGGGCAATAATTCACCACAGCTTAATTAGGTATGCTAAAACAACTTAAAATAGCTCCGTTACCTGAATGTGCAATACACGCAATGAATGCCTGTTTTTGACCAAATGATCACAGCTAAACATAACCAAAGAGAGGCTCAAGAAGCAGAGCAGCGTGCTAAAAAAGCCCTCCAGTGAAAACAGGGTACAGTATATGAATATACAACCACGGAGCACACTTTAAGCACTTCCATGCATTAAAAAAAAAGCCTAACCAAATGAAGGTATTACTAGTTGACCTTTGTCGCAACACACAACAACCCGCGTTAACCACGGCGGCAGCAGGAGTCAGTTTGTTGTTGTTGACGCGTTAGCAGTGCAGGGCCAGTAACGTCAAATGCAACTTACCTCTGACTGAATTTCCACAATTTCAAATAGTAATCTGAATCTTTAATGTTTAGTCTACGCCGCGATGTTTTCGGCCGATGCTGGATGGTCCCATTTGTTGCCGTGGGTTCAGTACAGACTGGTCAGGAGACATCCGCATAAACTCTCGACGACCATCGCAGCTCAAAAGCAGCTCACCGGAATCGAGGCTAGCGCTAGCTTGTTAAAACCGTGCAGAGCGTCCTACGTCCACAGAAAAAAAAAAACAATAAAATATCCACGAAAACTCGTTTACAGCGCAGCTATTTCATCTTCGCCACAAACTACGAAGCTTTGACACTCCATTTGTACAACGGTAGGCTTGCTTGGGTGAACGTAAACCATCAAAAGATCATATTTTGTGTCGCTTTAATCCTCTCCGCCAACCCATTCGAGCGGTTTTCGAGCGGCCTTTGACTTCAGTGTGTTCGGAAGCTGACGACGGAAACGCTTCGGGAATGAAACGCGCGTCCTGATTGGCTCTGGCGCTGTGGGCGGATACCGTCACCGCACGGGAGGAAACTGACGCCATTTTGGATCTACACAGCATCCTGCCCTCGCTTCAGAACCAATACAAGCAGGGCTCCAAAGTGGCTGACCACGGTGCGCAGTTTCAAACGCAGGCGAGCACACTCCATTATATAGTTGGAGACCAAGAAAAGGAAATGGAGTACTAGACATTGGGTGCGCTCGTTTTGACTGTCGCTTTACACTATTATTATAAAGTTATTAGAATAACTTTGTTTATTCTATTTCTAGAAACCTTAAACTTAGTTTGTTTTATTTCTAGAAACCTTAAACTTTGTTTATTTTATTTCTAAAAACCTTAAACTTTGTTTTTTTTTGGCTCGTTGTTTACACATTTAGATTTTTCATAGGTTATATACAATGCAAAAATTGATGTCTTCTGCAAAACGTATATTTAATATTTTTAATCATTTTGTGAAGTGAGTATTATTAAATATATATACGTATATTACGTATATATATTTATTAATGCCGGTATTGACTGACTCGCTAATTATAAAAGTATAATCACAAGCATTAGTATTCACCATATATTTGGTGCTTATCAAGATTTAAGTTGTTTCAATGGATCGATCCGACCCAGACCTCAAACACAAGTTATTGGTCGGAGGAGACAGCCCTGGCAGGTAAGCGGAGCATGCTGGTAAACAAATCTGACGCACCCACAGTCAAGATGTAAAGCCAAAGGATGAAACGAAGGCTCCTATTGGCTCAAAGGAAACGTCTCTACTGTGATTGGTTAATGTATCGGTCACTCAAACTGACCTGTACACGTCGCTTATCATATTGCCGTGATTATTTACAGCAGCGATGGAGATGTGAGGGGCAGCAGTCTGAATTATGTAATTCCAGTTGCAGTTGATTTCACGGCCTGGTGATAATGAGGAGAAAGTAACATTAAAAATACTTGCTGAGGTGATAATTTGCACTGTTGATGCAGCATGGCACATAGTTTCAAGATTCATGATCCATCTCAAAACGTGTTATAGTTTTTTGGGGGGGATCTTGGATCTTAAACTGACAACAAAATATGTTCATTATGTATACCTTTTGCTAAAGCTGGCTGGACCTACTCAACCCAGAGTGATAGCGCACTCTGCTGGAGTACTCCTATAGTGTCAACACACGAAATATGTTTTCCTCAGAGGTTTCAGAGACTACAATAAAATCCAGATGAGCATAATATTCTGATATTAACGCAGAATCATTTGAGGAGGTGAAATACTTTTTTTTTTACTACTATTATCTTGATAGATAATTATTTAAATGGATTTTATTTTTTGTTTGATTTTTTTAAACTGCTCGCTACCCAGGGAATGGTTGTATTGTATAGCAGTGTTTGGTATAATTATATAATGACTTTATATTGTGTTCTTGTATTGTTGTACCGTGCATCTTACATATAGGAAATCTGCAATGTTTTATGCGTTTTTTATTTTTATTTTTTTTTAATAATCAGTAACATAAGACACGGACACCAGTATCCCATAAAACTGTCACTCAGCACAAGAGAAGCCCTGGGCCCAAACTTTCTTAATATTATTTATGTCAACAGTAAGAATAATGCGCAGTGAGTGCGCGTCTCCTACTGTAGTAGACATGAGGATTTTACTTTGCTGCATTGCACACCTTCAGTGTTGGGCAGAATTTAGCAGCAAATAAAAAATGTAATCTAAGTGACTCCATAAGTGACTGTAATATTATGCTAGACTGGAGACTGCAGCGCTAACATTATACAACCTGCGCAAACATCTGCGCAACCAGTAAGACCTTGAAGAACACGGAGAGGTTGAAGTTCAAAGTGCAACGCAAAGATGTTTCCAAAGGCAACGAGATGTGTTCATCTGTGCTAGTCAATCTTCAGACTCATGGCAGCCTGTACTACAGTGATAATTAGACAGTGACGATAAACTATCATTCGTAGTAAATACTTACTTTTCTTTATTGTTTCTGTCTTTTCCGTGCGCAGGAAGGGCGCTTGTGAACAGTTGCTGACATCTTTGCTCGGCTGCACAGTTGAATAACACAGCAAGCTAGCTCTACACAGAGGTAGAGGTAAACAAACGGGTTATAACACACGGTTTTAGCGTGTTAGAAAGCTGAAAGCTATGGCATTGCAAACAATAAGTTAATGTAGTGCGTTCAGTGACACTATGTCAGCGTTGTTGTTGCAGCACCGTGCTGCCCTTTGTAGGAAATACAGTAGAGCTTTATTGTGGACGCTCTCAAGGCGAAACTCTCATTTATTGGCAAACAAGTCGATATCCAGCGATGGTGTTAAAAATGTGCTGTCCAGATGGGGTAATGTCAGAAAGAGGCTTCTTTCACAACCAGAGCGGACACTTACAAGTCAGCCACAGAAACTCATTCAGGTAAGACACAAATATTCACTAAACGTGATGATTTGTCTCGTCTTTGTGTTTGGTATTGCTCACTGTTAGTGCTGTGAGTTATGAGTGAAATGTGGGAAGAAAAAGCAATGAGATCTGCTTTAAAGGGCATGATTCAGCCTGACTCAGCAGAATTTGAATATGAAATTGCAACTTCAGTTAATTTTGTGTTTAAACATATTTTTTTTTTTACAAACAGTGTCAGCTGTTTCCATGAGCTTGGAGTTAGATTGTTAAGCCAAATTGTCAGTAACTAAGGCTGACTACTTGAAAAAGTATTTAGAGCACCACCCTATGTTTCTCAGTCTGCAGCCAGGATCATTATACAGTGGAAATAGTTGAAATTAAATTATTATTTTTATAACTTTACTGCTTTTGCTTGGTTGTAAATGCATTGCATAGTTACAATGCATGTGCAAAATATACCAATTGTCTTTACTTCTTGTCTAATTTCTTGTTACAGCAATATATGTTGTCCCAATGTTCCCATTTTAGGAGCTTCTTCACAGACCCGTGGGTCCTGACATGGTGGGAATTAGCAAAGAGTTAATCAAAAGCAACCTGCTGAGGAACCCTGTTGGTTTGATAAATCTATTAGGTAAACACTCATCAGCCTTAGTATGATTAGATGATACTTACTTATACTTATGCTATGGATTTATGTATGGCTACATATTTAAAACATTTCTCATTTTAGGGGCAACAGACTTCTTCAGTTCACCTCAACCTGAACAAGAGAAAAATAAAAAAAGTAATGGACCAAAGGGAAAAACTCCAGAGGAAGATGAAGGTAAGCGATAAACACATGGCTATTCAATAACCACCCCACATCTGGCTGTGATCTTGATTTATTTCTCTGATTCTTTTTCTCCTCTTCTTCCGTAATCCGCCTCATCTTTCAGAGGAGAAGAAACGTCGTGAGCAGGAGGACCGGATGTACCGGGAGCGCCTGCGGACCCTCTTCATCATTGCGCTCATCATGAGCCTGCTGAACTCCATTAATACCAGCGGTGGTAACATCTCTTGGAATGACTTTGTCAATGAGATGTTGGCCAAGGGGGAGGTGTCACGTGTGCAGGTCGTTCCTGAGAGTGACATTGTAGAAATCTACCTTCACCCCGGAGCAGTTATCTTTGGAAGACCTGTATGTTGTGCACGATTGAATGCAAACGCACAATTAGCATCTGAACTTTTACTGCAGATGTGCATGCTCACCTCTCATTTCCTGCCACGTGTCTTGCTTTGCAGAGGCTGGCGCTCATGTACAGAATGCAGGTTGCCAACATTGACAAATTTGAGGAGAAGCTGAGAGCTGCTGAAGAGGAGCTGAATATTGACACCAAGGACAGGATACCGGTGTCCTACAAACGCACTGGATTCTTTGGGAAGTAAGAACATGACCTTTCTCAGAGCAGACCTTAAATTCAGAGAAATCCATATATAAGGTGCCTGCCAAGGTTCAAAAAGTAATCTGAAGGAATGCTATCTCTACACAGAGTGAAATGATATATCAGAGTAAAACATATTTAAGACTCAATTTTTTTTCATCTGTTCACTTTGCAGTGCCGTCTATGCTCTGGGGATGGCTGCCATCGGTGTGGCTATTCTCTGGTATATCTTTCGACTAGCAGGCATGGTTGGCAGAGAGGGCGGCTTCAGTGCTTTTGTGAGTGAGACCACATTGGAACATTGCCACGTGTACATTTAGGGTTCCTATTATGTCCCAATAATAATTAACTCGCATATTAACAACATACTTAACAGAATCAGCTGAAGATGGCCAAGTTCACCATTGTGGACAGCAAGTCGGGTAAAGGTGTGAGTTTCAAAGATGTAGCAGGCATGCATGAGGCCAAGATGGAGGTAAAGGAGTTTGTTGACTACCTCAAGGTAAGAAACCACATCCATAGTGATATACAGTAAGCCATGTATCTACCTTCCAAATTTCCCATAACAAATGCTTTGAATGTCCCCATTGCAGTCTATTGCTTACCATATTGATGTTATCTATTGTCAGAATCCAGAACGATACCTTCAGCTGGGAGCCAAGGTTCCCAAAGGTGCATTACTGCTTGGGCCTCCAGGCTGTGGGAAGACCCTTCTGGCTAAGGCTGTAGCCACTGAGGCCCAGGTGCCCTTTCTGGCTATGGCTGGCTCTGAGTTTGTGGAGGTCATTGGAGGTATGTAAAGATAGCTCCAGCTAACCAGCAATTAATATGGTATATAGCCAACAACATATATAAAAAAAATGCAGATGTTCAATATGACATTCGATATTATTGGTTATGACAATATTGTGATAGATCAATGTCTGTTCCTCCATCACAGTGCAGATTTACTGTAAAGAAATATTTTGTGATGTTGGATTTTAAGCATCATTGCTCAGCATTATATGGCAGCCTTATGAGAAGGTTAATTTCTGAAGACATATTAGATGCTGTATGTCACTCGTCAGTTTTGTTGTTACTTATATTATGTTTGTGTGTAGGCCTGGGTGCTGCTAGGGTCAGGAGTCTGTTCAAGGAGGCTCGAGGCCGAGCGCCCTGCATCGTCTACATCGATGAGATTGATGCTGTGGGAAAGAAGCGCTCCACCAACATGTCAGGTTTCTCCAATACTGAAGAGGAGCAGACCCTCAATCAGCTGCTGGTAGAGATGGATGGTGAGACACTTTCAGAGTAGCTTGTTGTCACCAGAGGGGGATTTTCAGACAGAATAATGAAACACTCTTTTTCTTTTGCAGGAATGGGAACAACGGACCATGTCATTGTCCTGGCTTCCACTAACCGAGCAGATATCTTGGACAATGCCCTCATGAGACCAGGCAGACTGGACAGGCACATCTTTATAGATCTGCCCACACTACAGGTAGTCTTTTTTCCACACTTGATGTTTTTGTAATGATGTAGATAAAAACTTTGTGCTCTGTGCTTATTTGCTCCTGAACAATCACCCTAACTGTGTCAAGAACTGTGACATAGTTTAATTCAGAATCTTAGATGATATGCAGCCTTTACTTTTGCTGTTTTGAAAATATACTGAATGATGTGAACATTTTCATTACACCCCTTGTAGCTACTAATTTTCTGCAAATTAGTATCCTATTAAGCTGTTCCTTTATATATTCTCTGACAAACTCTGTCTAAACCTGCTACACAGTTAATGTGGTTAGTTGTCCTGATATTATAAAGTTTGTTTGCTTGTCTGTCTTATTTTTATTGTAATAATTGTCTCTCAGGAGAGGAAGGAGATTTACGAGCAACATCTGAAGATCTTGAAGTTGACCCAACCAGCTAATTTCTACTCTCTGCGTCTGGCTGAGCTCACCCCTGGTTTCAGTGGTATATATACATACTTACTGTTTGGTTGATGTTTACTGACATGTAACTCCCTCGTTTGGTGATGGTGAAATCTCTGTCAACTCACTTTGTCTCTGCAGGTGCAGACATTGCTAACATTTGCAACGAAGCTGCCCTGCATGCTGCCAGAGAGGGGCACAAGTCCATCGATACCTTTAATTTTGAGTACGCAGTGGAGAGAGTAATAGCAGGTACAGTGATGCAAACAAAAAATCGTACATTGAACATGTCTCAGTTGACAGAATCTGACAAATCTGTGTGTCTTCAGGAAGTGTAAAGAAGAGTAAGATCCTGTCTAAAGAGGAGCAGAGGGTGGTTGCCTTCCATGAGTCTGGACATGCTTTAGTGGGATGGCTACTTGAGCACACAGAGGCAGTCATGAAGGTAACACACTCTTGTATGTCTTATCCTCGATGTAGTGTAGGCTATTACTTGCTTACTACATCCTTAATTGTATGTCTGCCATATTTTGTTTTATTCAGATTAATTCTATAGTTCAACGTTTTGGCACTTTCCATAGTGTCGCCTAATTGATGCTTATAATTTATAATTTTATTGGAGATCAGAGATTAAGTGTATATTAAAATAAAGAATTGAGTCAGACACCATATCTAAGGAAATCACTTAAAAGGGACTCAGGACCAATCTTCTACCAAGGCTGTGTGTCAACAGTTCTTCACTTTATTCAAATATCGCCTTAGTCATTTGCCATTTCTACACTTTACTGATATTTTTTGGAGATTAATATAAAACTGTGTATTATCTCAAGGTAGAAACAAAAATTATCATGGGTCTCATTCCTCTGCTAGTCTGCCTCTGCTAGTATTTGCTCCATTGGACTTTCACACGTCAGACTATGTGTCAAAACTAGGCTGACCAGGACATAAAACCAAGTGTTAAATGTTTAGCACTCAATTAACACCCTAATGGTTATTGGTTGCCAGATGGGTCACCAACAACCCAGGCCACACTGCATTTATTAATGAGTAGAAAGTATTAAGCCAGAATTTTGAAGAAGGACCACTGAGGCCAAAAGTCTATTTATACTGTTCACCAAGCAAGTTTAGGAAGACTTGATCAAATGATAGACTTGAACAAAAAACATCATACACAGTGAGATAGACACGATTTTTTTTCCTACGACATGGATGGACACACAAAAAGTCATTGAAAATACTAAAATAGTCATTTTAGAAAAGAACCAAAGCTTCACCTTTTAGTTCCGTTCAGTTCGCTTTTTGAACAACTCTTATGTTGAAATCACAGAGGGATCATGTGGTGTGTTTTCCAGGTGTCCATTGCCCCACGGACTAACGCAGCACTGGGATTTGCCCAGATTCTACCCCGTGACCAGTACCTTTTTACTAAGGAACAGTTGTTTGAGCGGATGTGTATGGCCCTGGGAGGAAGAACAGCTGAGGCTATCACCTTTAACAAGGTTACAACAGGTACGCTCCATCTATTGTATATTTTCTGCACACTCAATCCTGCTGATTGCTTTCAAATAATTTGGTCAGAGCATTCTATTGCTCAAATTCTCCCTCAATATCAATCTTACCAAATTATTATTATATATATATAGAAAATGAATCAAACAAAGGAAACAGCAGTGGGAACAAGTGCAATGATCTCATCGCTCTTGGAGTTTTTTCTTTTTTGTTGTTGTTTTGTCAGTTAATTATTTTGACCTTTGAATTTACATTTGGTTGCTAATTATTTTGATAAATTGAATAGTTTTTTTGTAACTGTTTTTTGTAACTCAGATCATCACTCACCTCTAAACTGCTGAACATCCAAATATAAATACTCTCCTATGCTGTGCAGGACAACTTTGTGTTATTAATTCTCACTCTGTGTCCCCAGGAGCTCAGGATGACTTGCGTAAGGTGACACGTGTGGCCTACTCTATGGTGAAGCAGTACGGCATGTGTGACAGTGTCGGCCAGGTCTCATTCCCAGATACGCAGGAGCAAGGTGCCATTGGACGTCGTCCTTTCAGCCAGGGCCTGCAGCAGCAAATGGACCACGTGAGTTCTAAAATTGGTTTAGTTCTCTGTTAGCCCACATCAGCACGCTGTGAATGTTGACATGATTTGGTTATCACCTTAAAGTTTAGATTTTTTCTTTAGCTTTTGCCATATTGTTATTAGGTGTTCTGAAATAGGTCTACTTCTCATCTCCCTGGTAACTTTACCGAACACAATGAATGTTGTTTCATGTGTAGTATGAATTTGACAACACTTGTTCTTTCAGGAGGCTAAGATGTTGATAGCCCGTGCATACAGGCACACAGAGAAGCTACTACTGGACAACAGAGACAAGCTGATACTGGTCAGTTGTTCCCTTCTTTGATCATTTTCTGTGCATTTACACAGTAACCTTTTGCCATCCTTGGGCTTAGCACTCCTGCATTACCATTGGTTTATAGTTCGTGTTAATAAGTCACGACTTTTTGGGGTCTGTCTTTCCAGTTGGCCAATGTGCTGTTAGAGCGTGAGGTGGTGAACTACGATGACATCGAAGCCCTGCTGGGTCCACCACCCTACGGGCCCAAGAAGATGATCATCCCACAGAGCTGGTTGGAGGCGGAGAGGGACAAACAAGACACAGGAGAAGACGAGCCTCAACCACCTCCCCGCAAACAGAGAGAAGATGACGTGGAACCACACATGGTCTGATCTTAAATGGTCTCAGAATGATTTTCCAGCTACATTTTGGGGCTAATCAGGGGCTGAGTGAATTTTATAAAACCTGGCATTGATTCCTTCTCTTTGAAGTTTTATATGCCTGAAAGTGAAATCATCAAAGTTTCTTAAAAACTTCTGCAGTCCATGCAGACAAGCCAGTGCAACTTTGAGAACTATTATTTTGGGAGGAATTCTATCATTTTTAGCTTGTGCTTGCTGCACAGCCGTATTATTGTGCCACGGAAGCACTAAAAATAAGTCTGTTTAAACAGGATGTCTCTAACTAGCTTAAACTGCAGACAGCCTAAAAAAGCCCTCTAATCAGCATTTACTGAATGTGCAATCAACAATTATATGCCCTGTCCTAGAATTCCAAAACTCTGTTTGCTAATGCCTGAAACTGATGTGGGATCATTTTTATACAGACATACTGTAGCATGTACAGGTTTGGATTCAAGTATTACTTTGGACAATATATGTTGTTTCACATCTGTAAATGACATGGCAAAGGAACTGGTAGCCATTTGTAACATAATCATTCTGTACTGAAAACAGTTGACTCTAGGGGCTACTTGTACTTTCTCAGAGACTTTCTACACCAAATATATTTGCATTCATTCAGGGGACTCACATCTACACAAACACATTAATGTCCACATTATTGTGTTTGGTATTCAAGTGAGCTGCAGTAAAGAATTATAACAGATTGTAGTAGATTGCTGTGGACATTTAGTGTGTAGTTTAAGAGTTTAAGAAAGACATTTTGAAATACCCCTTTAAGACTGAAATATCAAAGCGTTAATAATTAAGCTGCAGATATTACTCCCCACACCGTAGTTCCTCTCTCACCGCGAGACATACAGATTGAGTTAACAGATTTAGTTTGTGTTTTCTTTGAGAAAAAGTCTTCATTAGGGACTGTGTTTTGGTTGAAGTGAATGTGAAGCCACAAAGGATGATGTTGCGAAATATTAAAGTTTTATTTAAATATTGTGTCTTCCTCTTTATGTAGTATTTGTGTATGTATGAATTATGAGTAAACCTAGCGCCGCCTATGAAGAGGGTCTTATTTGATAATGAACAATACACACTCTAAATAAAAGATTTGCATTTATTCTGTAGACACCAGTAACATTTAAATTCAATGAACATATCTAAAAAAAACAAACAATTCAAAGTCTTCACCTCCAAACAATTAGATTACAGAATATTATGTGGTACGGTATGTTTTGTTTAGTAATATTTTGTGCTCAGATGGCTTCCAAAAAGATTAACAGAGGCTGGAATGGAGGATTTGTGATGCAAAAAATCCCCAAAAACGAACAAAATCAATATCAAAGCAAATGTATATTATAAAATAATCACTTATATAAAAAAAGAAATTCATTTAAAAGATTTCTTATATTTCAGGCTCGTTGTATGCATCATTAGTGAGCAATCTGAGTCTGAGGATAAACAAAACCCAACATGGACAATCATTTCAACACACATTCTGTTTGCCTTGTAGCATGCACAGCGCCTTTCCCCCGTGGCTGATCATGTCAACACATGATTGTACTGTCTCATTCACTTTTCCTGAGCTAACCACAAAACTTTGCAACGAGCCATTTTGTCAGCTGTGTCCAAATGATCCTCAATAAATCCCAAGGCACATTAGATTAAAGGCCCATGGTTTAGTTTTTTTTCCTTGGCACGCTTCAAATCTTTTCCATGATCTGTCTCCCTAACTGGCAGTGGATCACACAGGTCTTCTCTCTGTCAGGTGCTTTCCACCTTAACGTGGGTCGTACATGTTGGCCAGTTTCTGAAAGCGTGGTCCCCAGTCGTTGAGGTAGTCGTAGTCTTGGTCTCCATCAGAACTTCCAGAAGCAATGGAGCTGAGGCTGCCTGCCAGCGAACCCTCTCCCTCATAGTCGTAGATCAGGGCTGTGTCGTATGGAGGCACGTTAGGATCGTTGTCTGCAGCCTCCAGGCCCTGAAGTGACAAAATTACAAGGTTTTTTTTAGCTGATAAGGGTAAAGTAAGTGCCACAAGAACGCTGTTTTAATTGTAAATTACATGTTTTACAAACATAATTTAGTCTTGAAATAAAACAATGTATTTTTTTTAATATTACAGACTTCAGAGAATCTTGAACATGCCAATAAAACTGGGGTGGGATAACGTCCACTACAACTGAAAACTTTTTATTAAATATACTAATTAACTAATTAAATATCACTCTGATCCTATTGGCAGATCTTTGTGGTTTAAAGTTCTAGAAAATGCTTCAACTGCATCTATTCTTAAATCCCATTGTTTTACTTCTTGGAAATTAAGTTTAGTTATATATCTCTGAAAGGATCACATATTTTAAAAAATGTCCCTTTCCTATTGATAATCCTGTTTTTCCCTCTCACTTTTAAAGTTTAATTTATTCAACAAAATCTGCGGAGGTCTGCTACACTCACTTTTCATTTCATTTTCAAACTTGTAGTCTTCAGATGCAACTAATGCTGCTTTAAGTGACATCACTTGAGGGTATTTATCTTATTTAAAAAAGCTTCTTCTAGAGCCACATACATGCAATAGTACTCCCCAACTCCTGTAAACAGAACGTTTCTCTTTAAGTATATGTACATACATAACTGCAGAGTTTGACTTATAGATGGAAAAAAAGGCATTTAGAAAACATGCAAGATCTATATTTAGTTGTCCAGTGTGTCTGTCAATTATTCATTATCCTTCAGGGTGATAGTGAATTCTTGTTCTGTATTTAGAATTTTAGTGGGTATACCCTTGGATTATACTATGGTAGTTTTAGTTAAAACAGGGTCATGGTAGAAGACCCTCACATCATTGATGTAGTCCTCGATGTCAGTGGGATCCGCGGGAGGCCTCCTTGGGTAGATAGGTGAGGGCAGGTTATGCGGGGCATCCTTCCTGAGGGGCTGCTTGCCTCGAGGAACACCAGAGCCTGGGTAGTAGGACCCCGGGGTCGAAGGGGCATCATGTGGATTCCATAGCAGGTCGATGTTAAAGGCATTCTGCAAGGTGAGAGGAAGAGGCTACACATTAACTATGCATGTACTTAAAGAATACAGTGAAAATATGCATACATTGGAAAAACAAAACAAAACCACAACAAAAGTGAATATATCAGAATCAGTAGTGACACTTAGACCATCAATTACTATTACAGTTAAATACAAGTCCTATGCATTCCTGCATTCCTCAACCATTCATATAATATTTCCAGAGTCACAATTCCTTCACCACTGTACAAACTGCATCATTTTTAGTTGTTTAGTTAATTTTTTTTTTTTATGACCACGGGATCATATAGACCTCATTTAGACCTCTTCACTGGACCTGTGCAGCCTTACCTCATCCTCCTCACCACCTCCTTGCTCATCATAGTTGAAGACATTGTCACGGATGTCGTCTTCAGATTCCCCGACAAGCAGGCCTGTTCCTTTCTTGATATGGTGGCGTCTCCCACACGCAGTCACCGCCACGGCCAAGAGAAGCAGCACTGCAATCAAACAGACGGAAACCATCAAGTATTAATTTGTGTTTATCCAGTTATAAGGCTGCAACTAATGATTATTTAATTATTGATTCATTTGCAGATTATTTTTTAATCAATCTATCATTTAGTCTACGCTATCTCAGAAAATAGTGAAAAATGTCTTGTTTTGTCCAACCAACAGCCAATAACCCCCAAATATTACATTTACAATAATACATAATCTAATATGCTTTTGATTTTCATTGGAAACAACTGAAAACATCATAAACTAGGGTCATATTTGCTACATTCTTGTTGGGGAAAAAATGACTTTCAGGACTGAATGAAGTATTTAAGATGAGACTTACACAGTAGGAGGGCAATACTGGCCATGATGATAATGAGAGCAATGAAGCTGATTCCCACACTGGAGCCTAGGATAGCCCCTGCCTCAGACTTACAATCTCCAAAAGAGTCACAGGGACACACAGTGACATTAACCTGAGCATAAGCACCCAGAACTGGACTGCCAGAGTCTGACACAAACACTGTGACCACATACTCTCCTGCCTCCAGCTCCAAGAGGGGATGAAGCACGGCATGAGTATCTGAAGAGGGAAGGAAAATTGAAAAATGTGTGAGTTTAGGAGATTCATGGGAATTCATTTATGCAGACCGCATATCCCCAGAGCTCTCCCCTTACCGTTGACTTGAATAACAGTCCAGTTTATGGACAGATCATCAGGCATTTTAAAGGTGAAGGGTGCAGCATGTGGAGGAAAGTCTTCATCCACAGCAGTCAGAACCAGACCAGAACCCGTCCAGCCTGCATCTTTACATACAGAGCCACTCAGAGGGAAGAGCTGAGGGGGGAAGTCATTGGTCTCCTTCAGTGTGATGGACACTGTGGCGGTGGTTGACACACCATCAGCATCTGCACAGGAGAACATACATACACAGCAATGCCACATTAAGTTACAACAGCTTATTCAAATGTTTATGTCTAACAAAAGTATTCTTGAGGTGTAAAACCCACTAAAATATATATTTGTTTCACCTGTAGATTAAGTATATAAACTGACCTGTAACCTTGACAACAGCATTGTAGATATTGTTTCTAACATGTGGAGATCGCATGTTAAAGTTTCTCTTGACAGTAAGGTCTCCTGTATCTCTGTTGATGTCCAGCCACCTCTCAGGATCTCTACTAATCTCATACCTGCAGCAGAGAGCAGAGTTAAAGACACGCAAATTTTTCAAATAGTTTACTTGCATCCTTAAAAGCACAAAAACACAGCTCTTGTTTTGAAGCTGCATCATACCTCAAGACAGAATTATCAGGGTCAAAGGCAATATTGTTTTTCAGTAAAGTCCCAGGAACCACAGACTCAGGGACCACAATCTGTATGGGGTCCTCCCTGAACTGTGGGGCTTCGTTCTCATTCACAACAGTCACCACCACTCTAGCGGTGGTCACTGGGAGGTTGGGAGCCTTGTTGCTCAGAGGGTTGACATTTTCCACCATCAGAATCAGGATGTACTCATTCTTTGCTTCAAAATCCAAAGGCTGTGTGAAGAAACAGAAGGAATAAAAACTTTTTGATAATACAGAATTAATGATAAATCTATATTTAAATTTCAGTCGTTTCAAACTAATTTACAAACATGCATAAAATATAGGAAAAGCCAAATCAACTTTTTCTGAGTAACTTGTAATTGAAAACTCAGCCACTAGAGAGTGTTACTGAGTTGTGTCTGAAGGCCTCAGTGCACGTTTTGACTTGAAGGGCAATACCACCCGTGTCGGAAATTCTAATTATTCCTGTGCCCCAGAACAGATCTGTCAACTTTGGTGAACACATACTTTTTTCATTTAGATAAAATCTCGAAAACCTATGGAGGAAAACACATTTAATTGAGAAGTCACTGCGATGTAAAACAAAGGTATATTTCTTATGAATGGTGTATACTTTCAAACACAGACTGAACAATGCGGGTGCAAAGAAATAAATTGTTGTTATCTCCAAAATCCTTGTTACACCAGAATTGATTGGTCCTCTTCCAATTATTTAATTCCAATTAACTCAGTCAGTTGTATGGGCAAAAATGCCAAATTAATTTACAGGCAACATAATTCAACATATATGGAGAATAAAGATCATGATATAAAATTGATAATAAATTAATATTTATTTGAATTTAAATAAAGTAGTTATTTCATGGAAATTAGCTTGCAAATATCTGATCTCCCAGTACGGACAGATGAAGCCAAAGTCACTGCGGCCATTCTTACATCCTGCAACAATTTCAGATGGATACCCAACAATCAGCACAACCACTCCTTCCCACTCTATCAGCTAACAGCAGATTAGCACACTGTACCTTCACCACTGTCAGAACACCCTGGTTGGTGGCAGGGTCTGTATTGATGGCAAAGTTGCCGTTAAGGTCATTTGCAATGAGGTATTTAGCCTCCCAGTTTCCTGTTCCACGATCATCTCTGTCCGTCACATTCACCCGGCCAATCTCATAGTCCTCCCTGTTCTCCACTGCAATCATACGGTACTACATGCACCATACACAAAACACAGATGGAAAGATTCAAACCGGTGTGACAAAATCACTGTCAAGTGTTTTAAATAAAAATGGAAAATATCCCTCATATATTGTTGTCACTCACAGAGGTAGGGCTGAACTGTGGGGCGTGGTTGTTGATATCAGATACATGTATGATTGCCACACCTTCACTTGTTAGTCCCATGCCCCCCATATCAGCAATCTGCAGTTTTAATCGGAAACTTTTCACCACCTAGGACAGAATACAGCATGTTTTAGTGAAATGAACCGTACTGCAAAAATCTGCAGCTGAATCTTGACCTGTATTTTACCTCTCGGTCCAGGCCTACATCTCTTGTGTAGATGGCTCCTGTCTGGTTGTTGATACCAAACATAGTCTTGGTAACAGCGTTGGCAGGAATGCTCTCCTGGCCAATGATAGAATAGCTCAGAAAAGCGTTTTCTGTCATAGGGTCATCTTTATCAATGGCTGACACTGACATCACTGACGTGCCTGTCAAAAATAATCAAAAGCTTCAGTCAGCCGGAAAGATCAGTCAAAATGAATTACCAGTTTGTGACATATGTGCTGAGACAGCAGGACTGCACTGAAAACATGTCAAAATTTACAAAACATTTAACAAGTTTTAGAGCATACTATTCTTAAAATGGAGAGACAGTGTGTCTTTTAGAACAATTTACTTGGTTCACATGCAATTCAGTTATTCATCTGGTATTAGTTGTGATATTAGCAATGCCATTATCTACTTTGCTCTGCCTTTTTCAAGAACAGTATGAATAAATAAATAGCGCAGCCACTGATAAATGGCATCTAAGGTATGAATATTTTACTTAAGACTGCTTCTTACTATAATTACCTTTCGGGGATAAATAAAGTATTTCTATTTATCTATCTATCTATTGGCCACTTTAAACATGTCTTTAAACACAAGACTGACATATTTTATTGAAGTTGATTAGTTGATAGGTCAATTTTTTTCTCTTTTAGCTCTGTGCCAACTCCTGAGGTAAATATCTGGCTCGCTGAATGCTCCACAGTGTTCACCAGCTAATTGCTAACTTTACCTGTCGGCTGGTTTATGCCAGGCAGGTAGTTTACAGTCAGATTGTAGAGCTTTACTGCTGAAAACAGCTGCCTGCTTCATCTGAAAATGATGCTGATGAGAGTGGCCAAGAGTGAACCAAAACAATTAGCTGAAAGGCACCAAAGAGATCTGTAGAGCTAAGGAGAACTGCAGAATCAGGTGATAATTACTTGTTGGTTCATCACCACACTGACTCCTTTCACATACACGTAGTTGTGTGATCCATTGTAAAATGTTGATTGTAGCAGCTTTAAACTGTTGTATCATATGTCAAACAGTACGGGAAACGTGTTATACGTCATTCAAAGTTACTTTATAAATCCTCGAAGCTACATCAGGAAGGACATTTAAGATTGTAACACTAAATGTAATGCAGTGTGTAATACATGATGTACCTGGGACTGAGAACTCAGACACAGTGCCAACAAACTCGCTCTGGGTGAAGGCAGGTCTGTTGTCATTCTGATCCAGCACCACTATCTCTATGGTGGTTGGATTCTCTAGTCTCTCTCCACTGGGGGACAGTGCAAAGGCTTTCAGCTACACACACACAAATACAAAGACACAGACAGAAACAGGCAATGTTTCTTAATAAAAACTGCATTCATGAGATTGTCATTTCTTACTATTAATTACAACAAATCTTATGCATTCCATGACGAAACATCCAACAAGGTGGGTATTTTATATACACAACATATGCTGGAAATGTGCAGGATGTGCAGGATGTTTGGTTCAACATCATGGGTTACATCACAGTCATCTGGTCTGAAACATTTTCAAGTTTCTCCCAAGATGCCCATAAAGGCCCTTGGAAACTGACCTCTGGCTGTTTGTACTAGTGTCTTTGACACTGATAAATGCTTTAATACATTAACATGGATCTATGCTTCAAAACACATTCTGTAAGGTCTTGTCAAGTTCATTGTAGCTTGTGTTAAAGTACTTCTGTTTGATTGCTCAAAAACACATTTCACAAGTGTCTTTCTGGATGATTTAAAATGTTACTCCTATAACTCTTACCGTGAAGCTGTTGTATTTCTCTCTGTCCAGTGGCCGCTTGCTCCGGATTATTCCTGTTTTATCATCAATCTCAAACAGATTCTTGGGCTCCTGGTCCACCCCTGGTCCTTCTAACTTGTAGATCACCTCACCTGTAAAGATTTTGTCCGATTTGATCTAAACAGAGAGAGGAGATAAAGTTGATGATCATCACTACCTCGTGGTAAGGTGGGGAGAGGATTGTAAACCATATGTCGTAACACCAGATGTGAGTAGGTTGACAGTTAGGGACCTTGACACAAGAGTGTTCTCAGAGAGGCCTTTTACTTATGGCAGGAAATGAGATTCTGAACTAATGGTAGCGAGGAGTCTATATTTTATGCATTTTGGATTTACTTTTTTTGACATGTGGTTTCTGCTGCGTTTTCATCACCATTTAAAAGTGGCTCAATATTTCTCCTTGTACGGTAGCATTTATAGGCTTACTGCTCGTCTGTAACCGCCTTAACACAACATTTACATTTCTTTTAAACACTGGTTTATGTTATGTGTGTCATCGTCTATGATTACAATTACAATCTACGGTGCATGGCTGTAGAGCACTGTGTTCAACTGGATTCAGTATTGTATAGCTCTACACAATCTAAGAGTAATACAAAGTAAGCATCAGCTCATTAAAGCATTTGCATGAGGATTTAGTCTTCAGAAGAAAACGCCAGACCCTTTTTTTCAGTATAATTTTGATCAATTATTACTATTTACTAATTTATGTATTTTGTTTGGCAAAAAGATTACAGGTTACAAAAGGCCTGTTCACAATTAGTACGTCCACTGTAGTATTTCCCCCACTGTGTGGAAGCTGGTTCTGTATGCTACTATATAAGAGTGTATGTTACTGGCTTTGTCCTGCTCTATTGGACTTGGCAGCATCAGCTTATGTTCACTGAAATAGCTTATGTTCGCCAGACATTTTCTTGTAAAAGTCTCTTCTTGTAATGTTATAACAGTATGATTATTTGTGGAAAAGATTCTTTTTTGCAGAAAAAACACATCAGTCACACATTATTGTTCCAAGCAGACTAATTGTATACATGTCTAAATACATGTCTCATCCACTGATTAAATTCTGCTGTGAAAGCTGTTATTTTACATTTTTACCTGGACAAGGTTTTCAGGAACCTGCTTGCTATTCTCCAGCACTCTGATTGGAGGGATGATCCAGTCCCTTTTTACCCTGACCACTCCCTTGCCTTGATTTCTCCAAGGGTAAAGGGTCTGAGGCTGCAGCTCCTCTTCATTGTGATGAGGTTCTGCAGAGCTCCACACCTGAAGGAAACAACGACAGCATGAAACTCACAGAAGAAAGTCCCAGGAACATGCAAGCACTAATCAGAAATGGACATATAAAGTAATTCTCCTTCATTGCGGACACAAATTATGTCATTAAAGATATTTGCAGCTGTTTAAAATCATATCAGGAGTCTCCCTCAGAGCTATAACATTCCCAATGGCCTGATGTAATGGCTGTATGCTAGCTGTAGTGCTGAAGCTGTCTGAATGTGGTATCCATGGGATTGTCCAGGGCAGAAGGGATGTAGGGCCAAAGCTTCAGGTTTCACACACTAATACATGTCTTTGTCAGCTTCCTTTGATCCGGGTGCAAATTCATCTCAGGACGAGGAAACACAAACACTCATGCTCATTTCACAAGCCCTCATTCACCACATTGCTGTCTTGACTACGTTCACACAAATACACCCACAACTCACATGTGAGGAACACACTCACACAACAGCTGTCGACTATGGATTTAGATCCTGCGCTTTCCCACCCGCATTCCTACTCACACTCACAAATTCCCCTTTATGCTCAGCTCTGCACCTGACTGGGAGTTTGGGGTCACCTTACGGATCTGCTCTGCTGTAGGAATTCCACAGACACACTCATATATTCGTGTTCTCACACACACAGGCTGATATGCATGCATCAACAAAACACCCACCCCCGCATAAGCATACACATTTCCTTAAGTTGCTTCCGTCTACTCTGTGGGAATTCACTGGATCCAGCATTACTTCCCATATGTTTAACAGCTCAAAGTCCGTGGAACCATGAGAAAAAGGTTGATGTATGAACTTTCCCAAAACCTTGATCTGTTTTGTTTTTGTGTTTTTACTCAAATATAACTGAATATTGATGAATAACCTGTTTCAGTCGATTTGAAGTGAGCCATAAATACATAAACTAAATAATGGATTGGTGGATACATTTGTTAATATTTTGTGAATGGCCTGTGATCCATGCCTTGTCTCTGGGGCAGGGGATCTGATATACTGATCCTTTGGCACTCTGCTGGACAGTGCAGGGAGGAATGGCAACCATGGCTGGCATCTGCAGGCCGAGTCAGAGGGCAGGCTAATCTTAGACTTCAATATTCTCGACCTCTGCCTATTTAACTTTTTGTAGCCATCGTCATCTCACAGAGATGTTTACACTCACATTGCAGCAGTGCATGTCACCCATTACTACTTCCAGACTTCTGCATGTATGAGCTCTCAAACCTCCACTGGCATAGCACGCATTCTGCATTGTTACTTAACCTCAACATCAATAACAGCTGCATTACAGTCGTATTTCCAGATATAGCACTTTCTAAGATTTGTGACATTTTTCTAACATTGAGGTGAATACCCGTGTGAGCCTTGATGCAAGTTCATCGAACTTTCGTACATTGCACAACTCTAAACCATGCTTTATTCACTGAATGAACAGGAAATTTAATTAAAGGATGAATGTGTCAAAGTTAACTGCAGATTGACCTTGGAATTTGTTAGGGTAATCCATAAATATGAAGAGTATTCTGTTTAAAAATGAATTTGACAAAAAGCGGTTAAAATAATTCAAAATGTGCTGCTTTGTGTTCACCAAGAGTCAGCCATGCTAGTGGCCATGTGCCGGTACTAATTCCACAGATCTCAGCTGATGGGGAAGAGAAGAAAATCTCACAGGACCTTCACAATGAAAAAATGCCTCTTTAATAATAAACAAATATCTCTTTAAAAAGGAAATGGGTATTATAGGGGTTTCAATAAAAATAAACCAATAAATAAAATAAAGCCTGCAGGCAGCAGGTAATCATTAGGAAAGAAAAACTCTTCCACTAAGGCACTCAAATCTGCCCTGATGCAGGTAAGCTAGTGGAAGAGGTCTTATATATTCACTCACTGAAAAATTATTTTCAGTCAGAAAACAAAACATACAGCAAAGATATCCCAACAGGGCCTAGAGACCAGAGTTTCTGACTGACAGTATGGGAGGTCTGCACTAAGATGAAGAATGATCAGAATGCCCTGGGTGAGCAGTTCCCCATGTCTCCTATGACCCTGATTGGCTCAGAAGGAAAGGCACCGAGCTGCTCTCAATCATTGTTTCCCTGTGCAACAGGTGATCTGAATAACCCTCCAAACAAGGAATTTGACTGTTCAGCTCGTATTAAAAATAGTAATTAAATGACAGCAAGTATGAAAGAATGAGGGACTGCTACACCTATAAGGCTGTACTAATTCCTGAAACATCTTAGCTCAGTGTGTTAGCTAAAATTTGCAAATTAGCACTAAACATAAATAATGTTGGGCTGATGGGAATGTTATTAGTTTTGTAGGACAAAAAAAGTTTGACCTGATGATGGCCCTAGAAAGCTTATTACAATTCACCAAAGTGCACCACATTTCACAACAATCCATTTAATACTTAATTGAGACATTTCACTCAAAACAACATAGTAAATCACATGGTGGCACTAAAGTAAGAGAATAACCAAAGGGATTAGGACAAATCATCTGAATATCAAAAGTGTCTTTGCAAAAGTTGCCACCAGTCCATCTTTTAGATGTTGAGATATTTATATATTATATTTTTCACTTTTGCTGGGGGGCTCTACAGGAAAAGTCATGGGATCACCAAAGACATGGGACATAAAATGGATATCTGCACCAAATTCCATGGCAAGCCATCCAATAGTTGTCGAGCCATGTCACTAAAATACATAATGGTCAACTCGTTAAAATTTAATTTCAATCCAGCAGCATATCAGTCTACACCAAAGTGGTCGACTGACCTACTGACTGACGGCTGTCACTAGCATGGCTAAATCAACAAGTGTTTCATCTTTTCCAGAATGTAAAACATTAAGAGATACTCAGAAAAGCTTACAACTACCAGATAACAAACAACATTGGCACACACCTTTTTCACATACACTCTATGTCATTGTTTTGTCCTTTCACTTCAGTCTGAACTTAAGATCAAACTGTGTTTTGAAAAGTGTCCCCACCAAGTGTCTGCCATTGCTATAATGTTTTTACCAGACCAAGATGCGTTAACACCAAAGAGTCATGTTACCAATTAGACCAATGAGTGCCTTTTCTGACAGGCTGAGTGATGACACCACACACAGATCAACTGTTTTAGAGGCTTTTCCCAGAAAAGTTTACAGCTTGACCTTTCACCTTGGGCCCTCACAGAAGTATGGACAGCTTGTTTGGGGATGATATGCCCTCACAGCAAGAACCTTTAAGCACACTGCTGCTGAGGAGTCTTTACCGAGTTCGATTCTACCTCCCTGGTGTTGGCTGTAGGAAGTATATTGTGACATTGTAGATAGTATTCTGGTTCATTTGAAATACTTGAAATCATCACTAACTGACCTACTGTGTCATAGTCAATGTAGGCCTACATAGATTAAACTGGCATAAATGTTGAAATAAATAATTAAATAATAACTTGAAACAATAACAACAATGACGAAGAGAGGTCAGACTTACATACAGTATCATTAAATCAATGTATCTATTGTTTTATCTTATTCATTTCATGTTACCCTGTACTAATATAAATTGTATTACCTGTTATGTTCAATGTGTGTAACATTAAGAATAGAAACTTAATTTCACTTCATTTTTTTAATTAAAAAGTGTAGCCCTGTAAGAGGAGGATTCTGTATCGGTCTGAGCGTCTGAGTGGAACAGTCACTCAAATAACCCAAGAAAAGACTGTCCAGTCGAGAAGTGATGCCTGCAGCATGCCTGACAGTCCCTTGGGCCACAGGGCAAGAGGTCGCACAGGTGTCCCTCTGGTCACTTCTGTTACTGGTCCTCAGGCACAGACATTTAACCAGTCAGTCACCAACAGTACTGGTCCCACACCCCTGCTCTTTGCTAAGTCATGACTGCCTGGCATGGACATGGACACCCTATTTATGGTGCCACTACAAGTGTGAATCTCCCTTGGAGCAGATGTCTGAGCTTTAGGAATGCTGAGCAAGGTTATAATATTAGGACTAAAAGTAGGACTCAATAGGGGCATAGAAATTGAGTTATTGAAAAAGTATAAAACAATGTTATCTGACACCTAAAGTAGTAGATTAAGCTAAATATGATCAGTAACATCATTACTCTATGTAACAGAGGATGGGGAAGAATTGTCTTGATGTGAAAGAAACACATTTACTATTAATACAGTAATACAATGTCCGTCTCATCTTCCTTCCTAGTATAGAGGACTTATAAATCTTTGGCCAAAGAAAATATCATCAAATAAATTCTGTTAATTGTAAAAATGAAACAAACAATCTTATCTAAAAATAAAATCTTTACCAATTTATAAAAAAAAGCTTTGATTGTATGAGATGTGGTTTGCTCTTTCTGTGGTAACTCAGCAATGCCCTTTGTTATATATCTGTTAACTAATTGGGGATACCAAATGGCACAATGACAAACCCATGATAACATTGCTACTGCCTTATTCTTGTGCTTGACACAAAAACAGCAACTGTCACCATTTGGTCTTCCATGTCTCAGTCTGTAAAAAATAATGAGGCAAAAAAAAAGAAAGGAAATTGAGTTCAGTCAGCTAGTTTTTATGATCTGGAAGTTGTCCCTCTACCCTTTGCTCCCTCTGAAACCCAAGTCAGTGTAAAACAGCCTGCAGGTATCCACACCCAGCAGGACCTGTGATTCAGACTCCAAATCCTCTGACTGATTGTTTCCGATGAGTGAGACCTTAGCGCCAGCTGGTCGCTGCTACAGACTCTTGATTTGTACCCGATTTCATGGTCCAGGAGCGGCCCACTCCTCTTTCCGCAAGGGGGATTACAGAGCGGGACAAATGGCATCACGTATGCATCTGGGAACAGCTGTTGCTGCTGCCCACTCCTCACCACAACATAACAGGCCCGAACACTGCCCAGTTCAAAACGACACCAGCTTGAACTTAAAGCAGGTGATACTGATCAAAGCCTTTGGATTGGATTGACAGCTGCTGATAGTTACATTTAAATTTCATTCTGATTATATATTTATTGTAATTTGAAGTTATTTTTACTTTTGAAATTCTTTTTACTTGTTGTTTGTGTATTTGTCCAACATGGCCACCTGCAACCATTGGTAATCATTGCACAAAGAAAATGTGTCCATTTTGTGCAATGATACAGCAGGTAAAACATTGGAAAAGCATGATTCATTTGGTCTATGATTTGTTTCCAGAAATAAGACAACGACGAACTTCTTTGTTTGTGTATCTCCCATATGTGAGCTTTTAGTAACTGTTGTTTAGTACATAGCAATTTGTCCTCTTCCAACATAGTAATAGGTAAAAATAGGGACTCCATTTTCTGTAAAAGGCCACTATTATTGATGTAGTGTGTACTCATTAAAGGGATACTACACCAAAAAAACTGTCTTTTGAGTCATCAGCCACTGTAGCTATAGTCAGGACGGTAGCTGTTTTCAGCTTGGATTAACAGCAGTTTCAACAGATTCCAGTAGCTTCCCTGGACGGAGTGTATTTAGCGATTTATTTATTTACTTTTTGCTCTGATATTGGGTTACCATTGGAGTCCACTAACGCTGCTGTTTCATGTTGAGTCAGTATTAAACTTTTCAGAGCCATCCTTCGAGCCTCCACTGGGTTAATAATTCATACTCAAAAGATAAATTGTTACAATTTAATCAAAATTAAAATACAGTGAACAAACTAAAGGAACCTGTTATTTAGCTATCACCTCTCTTGGACTTGTAACAACTCTGGCATTTGAAGGTGGAATTTAACCCTCTGTCAGCCTCACCACACAGAGCTTATGTTGTTCTCCGATATCTACCTCCAGCCTGAGGACTGGGATCTTGCGTCTTAAAGGTCAGGTCCAGGGTTTACATGTCTTTCAGATCATTCACAGGATTATTTATTTATGTTTACATGAACAATCATGAGTAAAACTATCACTCCAGACCTGAGGATTTGACTGAAATATCTTTCGTGTAATATCATTAGGGGCTTAGGCCTCACTGTGACAAACTGCTGGTTTTTCCCATCATCAATCACTACCATGTTCAAAAGAGACAACATACTGTATATCTTCAGGGATTTTTACCATTTATTAACCATAGAACATGAAAATGAAAATAAAAAGCAGCATAAATTCACCACAAAGACTTTCAACCACAGACATTGGACATTTTCAAAAACTTTTAACAATTGACAAGGTCAGAGACACTTCACTAATTAAAAAGATGTGAATTATTCATTTCCACAGCTAAACAACATCTGCAACATTGAGAATGAATTATAGAGCACATCATAGCAAGACCTCTCTCAAGAATCACCAGAGGCCAACTCACTCACCCTCCCAACCTGGGCTCCATTACTACTCCAAACAGAGAGAAAGACTGATGGCGGTTGGAAGTGCTGTTGGTAATATGTCAGTTTACATTGTCATCCATTTTAGATCCCTTAATGGCAGGGGCTACTAATGATGCCCTAAGCCCTCTGTACACATCTGGAGTCTCGTCCTCCTCAAAACACTTCATCATGCTCTTTCCAACAAGGATGAAATGTTTAGATCAGCCACAACCTCTGATTGCAGAGCCAGTTTGGTACCTCTATTGATGAAAATCAGTTGATGTTTGGTTGAAGACATCACTCAGGTAAAAACATAAACTGTACATTTGAAGAATGGGGCAGCTAAAGGCCATTCTTCAACCATGATCACGCTCTGAAAGGGCAGGGAAAGTCTTGGGCTAAAATCTGAGGGTAGGCTGAATCTAGATGCGTACAACAGGGGAAGAGAGGGGGGAAGTATCACGCGGGACAACTCAAGTGCAAGTGGAGTACCTTTACCTAACAATCCATAGGTTCAATTACTTGTTATTGACATTTTTATAGCAATCGGAAAGTGGAGATACCTCCTACACAAACTTCATTGCTCAGGCACCTACGCTCTAAGTTCTTTAATAGAGTAAAAAATTTATCAAAATCAATAACTGGAGATTACATTGTCCAAATAACTGCCATTAGACACATTTAACCTTTTATTTTCAATCTCTTTTCATCGACAGACAGCTCACACTGGATGTAACACAGAATACAAACACAAAAGTTCTTCAAAGCTCAAATAAATCTACATATTTTGTTCATTTTAATCAACAGTAGCAATGAAGAGACAATTTTTTTTCTTACCTGATAGAGCAGAGGAACCAGCACACACACCATCAACATCCGTGCCGCCATCCTCAGTACACAGTACAGTACAGAAACTCAGAATGAAGAGACCTCTGATCACTGAAAGCTAGGCTTCTTCACTAAAAACTGGGCTCCTGTGTGGCTCTACTGGGCAAAAAGGCCAAACTCTCCAACCTTGAAACCTGTCCGTCTCTTTCCTTCTCTCTCTGTCCACTTGCTCTTGCAGCCTCTCTGTCTGCTTCCTTTCCTCTCCCTGCGTTTGTCTCTCACAGCTCCTCCCTGCCCATGGCTGGGGTATGTCTCACAGTCGCGGGGTAAGGGGTTAGAGTTTCAGCAGCGGCCCTCCCATGTACCCCAGCACATGTGCTGTCACTCACAGACCGGTGAGGGAGAGAGCGAAAGAGAGAGAGAGAGAGAGAGAGAGAGAGCGAGAGAGAGAGAGAGATGAAGAGAGAAGCAGGGCAGCTGTTGGTAGTGTAGACAGAAACAATGTCTTCACCAGTTAAATGTAAGTAAACTTTATTTAACAATTTTCAAGTTAAGCGCTTTACATAGAAACACAAAAGAAGGAGAGGAGGACAAAAGAAAGAAAGCCAAGACAACGTGTAAATCCTGGACACAGACGTAATAGGAAATATATAAGAAATATGAATTTACTGTCAAACAGTCTAAAACCCAGAGATTTTCCATTTACAATGATATAAAATGAAAATTCGAAACAAAACAGGAGCTGAAACCAAAGAATGTTTTGCATTTTCCTTGAAAAGAAAATTACTCATTTATGCACCTAATCAATTTTCATAACTGCTGACGATTAGTTTTCTGTCGATCAACTCATTAATTAATGGACTTCATAATTTCGGCCCTACACAAAATTATTCTACAACTTGAAAATACATCCAAAGCAGAACCTCTGTCACTTGAGGTTGAAGTTAAATTGCTTTCTTGAGAATGATTGCAAGAATGCAATTATACTTTAAAGATTTAGAAGCAAACATCTATCTCCATTAGCCCTTGGAAATAAGTTACAGCTAACGACTATTTTCAGTTTTTGTTCAAATTGAAAAACAGCAAATAGTGCCAATCCTAGAACTAATTTGCCACAAAAAGTAATTCAATTAATCGTTCCTTGACCATGCTTTCTATCAATCTGCTGTCTTTGGACTTTTGTTGCTGTCACACTGAGAGGAAAATGTTCTTTGCATTTTCATTTATAGGCTCCACTTGACAGCATACAACATACTCATATGTTTACAGTCTTAAGTAGCTTATCACACGTTTTTCTCTTAAATCCTTCTTGTGCGGATCAGCCTTCATGTCATAAGGCTGCATACGTAACCTCCGTGTCCAGTCAGACGGTGTCGTGCCCTCAGACATTCAGAACATTCAGCCAGAACTCTTTGATCTCCTGCTATTTTGAACACTCTGTCATATAGCAGATGATGAAGATCTATGGTGCTCCACGGGTGAGGCTTAAAATCTGACTGAAACACTGCCATGATCGATGAGTGTTTTAGGCAACCATGCTGCAAGAACAGGTTGCTGTTGTCCACTTAAACGGAAAAACAGAGCAAGAAGTTGACTCAGTTGGTAAGATGTTCTCAGGGGAGACACAGTCAGCACGAAAGATGTGTTTGGCATTATGGGACGGCTAGAAGTATGGAGTCCAGATCTCCTCAACGCTACTTTCAACACTCTATCAGCAAGTCAAGCTCACAGGTCAAAGGTTAATATGGATCCTTTGGACCACATTGGCCTCTCTTTCACCACAGACACATTCCTTTACTTGCAGGACAGACACCTATTCATGTTAAAAATCAAAAGTGAAGACTAATGTGGACATTAAGTACCATGGTTATGAACAAGGAATCAACTGCACAAATGAAACTCTAGGAGTTATGACTGTACAGTTGCACAGGAGACAGAGATACTGTTGATACTAGAAACTCTCATGCTAGAAAGTAGAGCAGTGAAATAATTGAGTGTGTTGGCAGGCGGACTGTGTGTGCCGAGTGGGTGTCAGCATGCTTCCATTTGTTTGTGTGTGTGTGAGAGAGAGAGGGTTCTGGTATAAAAGGGGTGATTTTGCAGCACCTGTCTCAGTCATTTCAGGCAGAGGCAGTTGGCAGGAGCCGCCCTGATGTTTCCCTTCCTTCACCCCCGACCCACTTCCCTAACAACAGGCTCTCATAGCAGAGTGCATACATTTCATGTTGGGCTGGAAGAATATAGCTTGCTCATTAGATAGTCTAGACAAATGTTTTCTGTAAAAGTGGTTTAGGTGTGTTTCTTATAAGCAAGACCAGGTCCAAAAGTGATTCTGAAGTTTAAAAGTTGAACCAATTACTGAAACCCTATTTCCAAAACCCTCTAGAGTTTCAGAGACAGCGCTTTGCTGCCCACTGTTGGCAGAAAACAGTTCCCATTAACTCAAAAGTGGACAAGCTATAGACTGAAATTGGATTACAACAAGTGCACAAAAAATAAAACTATATTTAGTAATCCTGAGTTGAGGATTTATTCGCTGCATTATATAATGAAATGCATAAAGTCCCCTCTTACAATTTAGAGGAGCATTAATTGATTATTTTACCACTTGGGGGCAGCAGAATAACACACAACATTAACATATTATCTGTGGTGAAATATAACTAACTACAATTTTTTTGAGGAATTTATGCTTAACTTTATACTTCTATTACTCTACAGCTCAGAGAAAAATATTTTACTCCACTACATTTATTTGACAGCTTTAGTTACTAGTTGCTTTTAAGATGAAGGTTTTACGTGCAAAAAAATATGAAAAGCTTAGAAAATGTGATGCAGTGCTTTTATTAAACTAGCAGTGTATACTGTAACTAATATTGGCTACACATTGATAAATTACAACAACAAGTAATAATATCCAATGATATAAATGTGTTATGAATAATTAAAACTCTGAAAGGAGTGTTCCTGCATAATGAATACTTTTACATTAACATTTAACATAAGGATGATGTGTGGTGAGAATGTGTACAATGATGATTTTGACATGAAATATAAGGTGAGAGATACCTATAAGTAACCTTATAGTAAACCATTGTTTGCAGTCTACAAAGCTCTCTCTAAAATTTCACCCAGAGGCCCATTAATAAACCTAATTTTAAATAAACAAAGTAGTACAAACAAATTAAATAACATTTTTAATGCAGGACTTTTACTATTCATGGAGTAAATTTTACTTACTTAAAAATCTACTTCTTCCACCACTGCATATTATCATTAAGTTCATCTAGAGAACCTGTTAGTTACACATTCAGGAGACACAGAGCAACTACCATTAATTCAGAGTCGGGTTTCTTCCGGCCTGACAGATAAGTCCAATAGTCTATACAACTGAAACAATGAGCTGAAAATGCTAAATGTATAGCTGAGGGGAACCACAGAGCAGGGGGATGATTCTCTTTGGGTTCATAAATTTGTACAACCCCTTACAATTCAGACTTTCACATTTGAACTCTTGTTAATAATTAAACATTAGTGCAGCTTTAAGGGACCTCATCTCAGTGACTGTATTTATATTTTTGTATCCTCTGCTTTTTTAAAGGAAAGACTTCTTTCTTTCTTGTCTATTCTTGTATATGTTTTAAATTAATTTCATTTGAAATTTGACCCAGATTGGTATACTGTAGTGTCTTGAGTTCTTCAGGCCAACGCACTTGCTTGCTGGTACTGCAGGTAGCTCAATTTCTGGCACTGCTGTTTTGGGTGATATGTTTGATAGTCAAACTGGCCGTTCAGAAAGATAGAAAGACTACGTCTATTATAAATTAAGTGAGTGACATCTGCCAAGTCAGTTAACAGTTTAACAAGAAACTGCCAGTATCAGAGCTTCAGTATTTTTTCTCTTTGTCAAAAGAGGTTCAACAGGTTTGGGCAATATCATTACATATTTATGGAAATTACAAAAATCAACAACACAGGAACTTCAGAAATTTGCAAGTTAATTATGTAGAAAAGAAGATGACATCCAAAAACAGCATTTGTGCACTGCACCACGTTGTCAGCTTTGAACTACTGAAGAATATCAGACCCAGCAGAACATGATGAAATGAGATTGTGAGTTTCAAAGGCTTGTTCATGCAGGGTCCCACTGAGGCGATAATAGCGAAGAAGACTTGTGGTGCTATTGAAGCTGCAGTCAGATCACTACACAATATTCTTCTGAACACACAGGTGGCTCGGAGCCCCACTGATCAGGAAATAAGGAACCCAACCTGGTGGCTGTCTGGCTCACCAGGCAGACAGTAACACTATTAATGATGAATATTGGAGGGAGGCAGAGGAAACCTGTTGGCTACTTGGTTTTGACACTATATCACTGACGTCAGTGCCCTATTTTTAGTCAAAGTATCATATGTTCACCAATATCCACGTTAATAAAGGTGATTAATAATATCAGGCCATTTTCTCCTCCAACAGACAAATCCCCACTTTAAGGGTTAGACTTTTACAATTCACTGGAAGAAATCAGCATTGGTCCAATATTTGGGTTAACAAGCCATTGTCATATAAATACTTATTATTTATTGTATAGACACTTTCATTAATCTATATGCCCTTTTTTTCTAATTTCATTCAATAATAACATACATTTCAAAACAAGCTTTTTACATGTATATTGTTTTGGGCTTTTATTGCCTTTAATTAATAGTGACAGCTGAAGAATGACAGGAAAGAGGGGAGAGAGAGGGAATGACATGCAGCAAAGGGCCATAGGCTGGAGTTGAACCCATAGCCGCTGCAGTAAGGACTCAGCCGTGGTAGATGGGGTTTTAACTCTACCAGATAAGCTATTCGGGCACCCCCAAAACATCTTTTTAAAAGAAAACTAAATCAACTCAACTTATTCAGTACTTTGATTTAGGGTTAGGGTTATTTTTAGGGTTATAAATAACCCTAATAATGTTTGCCTCCTTGACAGGAAGTCAATTCCAATGGCAACAAAATATTACAGCCCCTAAGCAGCTAATTAGGCCAAATCTCTAACACCCTTTGAAGTGCACTGCAAAGCACTAAGATAATTTCTGCATGTATAATGTAGAAGTGAAACTGCCATCATCAGTGTGAGTCATTGATCAGTCGTCAAAACACTCGCCAGTGTTGCAGTTTTGCAAAAAGTAGCAAATTGGTTAAAAAAACACTCTACAAAAAAACTGAAAAGGTTGTGTTATGTTTGTATGTTACTTTTTTGAATACACCTATATCCTATTACATCTCATCTTTCTTTGTTTATATTAAA